CTCTCTCTCTCTCACTGTCCACTCTGCCTGTCAAAAAAGAAAAAAAAAAGAGTTTATGTGTCTTACATCAAATCACGAAGGTAGTAAGTAATAGAACAGGAGCCTGATGACCAGTATCCAACAAAGTGTCAGCTGATATTAGGCAAACATCTGGGAGAACACTTAAAATATTGTGATTATTCATGACATTGACCATCTGAGTAGTTAAGGTTTGGAGTAGTTGCTATCAAAGAAATAGATTTAGGCTCTAGAGTTAATTTACAGAAGACAGTGTGTGTTATCATCCTTATGTCAAACACAAAGTTCTTTTTTTATTTAAAGATTTATTTATTTATTTGAAAAGCAGAGTTACAGAGAGGCAGAGGCAAAGAGAGAGAAAGGGAGTCCTCCATCCACTGGTTCACTCCCCAGATGGCTGCAATGGTCATAGCTGCGCTGATCTGAAGCCAGGGGACAGGAGCTTCTTCTGGGTTCCTCAAGTGGGTGCAGGGGCCCAAAGACTTGAACCATCTTTTACTGCTTTCCCAGGCTGTAGCAGAGAGCTGGATTGGAAGTGGAGCAGCCGGGACTTGAACTGGCGCCCATATAGGATGCTGGCACTGCAGGCTGTGGCTTTATCTATTACACCACAGTGCCAGTCCCCCAATAAGTTGTTATGGAACATGTACTTTATGCTCAGCATTTTTCTAGGATGTATTTGAGCATAGAAAAAGATAGAACATAGTACCTATTATCAAGGAATTTATAACTGAGCTGGGTAAACAGAACTCAGTGATACTTCTATAGAGGAAACCAACATCAGGCAAGATGGAAATTTAAAAGAAGTTAGAATGTTCAGCAGGAACTGGAGAAGACTGCATAAAAGGAGACTGCATTTCAGCCTCCAAGTAAAGCAGGGGTTGAGCAGATTGACTAAATCACGAGGGCAACTTTGGAGATGAGAATGAGTTAGACATTATTGAGGACATTGACTATATGATGGGTAGAAAAAGATTTCATTGTAAGTGCTGACTCTAATTTTTTTTTTTTTTGGTGTTTTCTGAAGCATCGTGTTGGAAAGAATTCAGAGGCTCAGCTGGTAGCCATTATATGAATGATTATTAATATTTATTGTGATTTTGGGAGGGAGTAATAAGGACATGAATGCCAGCCTTTTGTCATCCTGTTACAGAACAAAGTAGCAGAAGCAGAGAGTTTTTGTGGGGGTACAGCAAGAGATAAAGATGAGAGAAAAAGTCAGGGTTAGATTGTGCGTACACTAGGCATATGGTACCCACTAGCTATATATGGATATTGAACACTTGAAATGTGGCTGCTCCTATTTGTGATGGACCATGTAAAATACAAGCTGAATTTCAGAGAATTTGTTCTTCACTTAGAAAGAATGTGAAATGTTTCATTAAGATTTTTCTATTGATTACATGTGGAAATGGTCATGTTTTATCTGGAGATCAGTTCATAAATTAGTGAATTTCTTTTTTATGTTATGGCATGCCTATGTAAAATGTTAACATGTAGGAAAATTGAGTGAAGAGAATGGGGAGACTATGTGAAATACTTTTGCAACTTTTTTGTAAGACTGCAACTATTCCAAGATAAAGTGTTAAAAACATCAACTCATTATAACTCCTGAAAGTGTAATTACTCCATTTCTGTCATAGGAACCTCAATTCTTCCAGTCTCTTAGGTGAGAAATCATGAAATCATGGTTTATTTTTACCTCGTTACTACCCTCTATATTTAGAAAATCTCAAAGATTTGTTGGTGCTTCCTTTTTTTTTTTTAGTAAAGAAAATTGATGCTTTATTTATTTATTTATTTATTTTGGCAGGCCAAAACCCTAGTTTATTTCAGCATCAGCAACATCTTAGCCATCAAAAAATTAAACTCTACCGAGGGCGACACAAGATGTCTCTACAGTGAGGCTAAGGGCTCATCCGCCGGGTGAACTTTGGAGGGGCGTGGTGGGCGCTGCCCGGGCAATAAGTTGGGAAGCAGTGGGGCTGGTGGTAGGCACAGGCCGGCTTCACTTCTGGGCAGGCATGAGGTCGTTGATGGCCTGGCCCTGCTCCAGCCGCTGCTGCATCTCAATGAGCGGCTTCACACTATCCACCACCATCTGCACCAACTCCACCTTGGAGAAGCCCAGGCTGTCGGCGTTGAAGACGTCAAAGACCCCGCCCACGGCAGCCGTGTCCACACCACCTGTGCCTCGCTTCTGAAGCTGCAGCCGCTTGAGCACCTCAGAGAACTTCTTGTGCTTACCCAGGTGGGGCAGCTTGATGTGCGCACCTGCCCACAGCCCAGTGCCCAGGTTCGATGGGCAGGTGAGGATGTAGCCCAGGTGAGGGTTCCACATGAACTCATAGTTCTTAGACTTGAAGAGAGTTTCAATCTGGGTGAGGCCATTGCAGAAGCCGGTGAACACCTCCTTTATGTTCCCTCCCTTCTGAATGGAGATGACCCGGAGGTGGTCCTCCTCGTTGATCCACACCAGGAAAGTCTTCTTATCATTGTGCCAAATACCGCGGGGTGTCCGGCCAGTTGTGGGCCATGCCGGTGGCCAGCAGCAGGGGCGACACGGGCTTGTCGAAGAGAAAGCGGTCGTTGATAAGCTGCTGCTGCTCCGCCTCAGTCATGCTCTTGAGCGCGTAGTACCTGCCGGCCAGGTCGCTGTCCAGGCTGGACAGCGCTTCCACCGCCAGCTTCTCTATGGCTGGGTGCTCACCGCGGCTGCAGTGTGGGGGCAGGCAGAAGCCACGGATGCTCCGGCCAGTGTGCACCCGCGAGCTCAGCACGTAGTTAGGGTCCAGGTTGTCGCCGCCCTGCAGGTTGTCGGGGTTGAGGTCGGTCTTGCGTTCGTCGCTGGGCTTGTAGTCGCCCTGCCGGTCCTCGATGATGGGGTCAAAGAGCTCCCTGAACACCTCGAAGGACTCCTCGTCGCTCGCCACGCAGCCCACGGTCATGATGTACGGGTGGCCCGGGTTGTCGACGCCGGTCTGGATGACGAAGTCCAGCGTGAAGCCGCTGGGCATGCTCTTGGCACGCAGCTCTGCGTACATCTCGTACATCTCGGGGGTCAGCACTTTGGCCCTGTAGTTATTGTGGGCGCTCAGGTCGGGGAACTCGTCCTCTGCCGGGAAGCGCAGCTTCAGCGTGTTGTGGCTGTTGGAGAAGGGCATGGCGACGACTGACACGTTGGCAGGCAGGCTGGCGGCTCGGTCTGCAGCTCCAGGCGCGGCGCAGGCGAACAGCCGATGCTTTATTTTTAATCGATCTTTTTTGGTTTATTTGAAAGGCAGAGAAACAGTGAGGGAGAGAGAGAAGTATCTTGCATTTGCTGCTTCACTCCCCAAATATGAACAGCAGCCAATGCTGGGCTAGGCTGAAGTCAGGAGCTTAGACCTCAATCTAGGTCTCCCACATGAGTAGGCAGGTACTCAACTACTTGAGCCATTACCTGTGGCCTCTCAGGGTGCATATTAGCAGGAATCTGGAGGTGGGAGAAGAGCCACTACTCAAACCGAGGCACTCAGATATAGGATGCAGATGTCCCAAATGGCCTCTTAACCACTGAGCCAAAGACCTGCACCCCCACCTCCCCACCCCCCACCAAGTATTTCCTTATAAATGTCTCTTGGATTATAGCATTCTTCTCCATCCCTACGACCATCACCCTAGTCCAGAACTACATCACCTCTTTCCTGGCCTACTATAATGCATGGCCAATTATTACAGCTTCCCCTCCCAGCCATGCTTCAAGCCACAGACAGACTAATCTCCCCTGCTCAGACTTCTGCTCAGGTACCAACCATGGCTGCCTAGATTGAAGTACAAATTCCTTATCTTGATTTCTCGAACAGTTCTGTCCAATGGAAATATAAGCAAACTACATAGATACATTTAAATTTTCTAGCAGGTGTACTTTTTAAATAGTAAAATGATCAGATAAAGTTAATACTAATATTACTAAAATACACGGATATGGGCTGGTGCCGTGGCTCACTAGGCTAATCCTCCGCCTGCGGCGCTGGCACACCGGGTTCTAGTCCCGGTCTGGGTGCCAGATTCTGTCCCGGTTGCTCCTCTTCCAGTCCAACTCTCTGCTGTGGCCTAGGAGGGCAGTGGAGGATGGCCCAGGTCCTTGGGCCCTGCACCTGCATGGGAGACCAGGAGAAGCACCTGGCTCCTGGCTTCAGATCAGCAAGGGTGAACCAATGGAAAAAGGAAGAACTTTCCTTCTGTCTCTCTCTCTCACTGTCTAACTCTGCCTGTCAAAAAAAAAAATACACTGGTGTGTATTTTGCACTTAGAACATTTCTTAATTTGGACAATCTATATATCAAACACTCACCACACATGGCTAGTGACCACTGTCAGGACTTAGAACACGAAACCCCAAAGTATGAGGCCTTGGTATGCTGAATATGAGAATATTAAATATGAATATGAGAAGATGAATATGAGAGATGGATATGGATATGAATATGAGACATAACAAGGCATCCAAAAGACCACTCCTAAATTGTCTTCTGGTTCATTCCTCTTCTGAAACCAAATGCTATGGGGTGGGCAGCATTGGGGCATAGCTGGTAAAGCTGCTCCCTTTGACACTGGCATCCCATATGGGTGCCAATTTATGTCCCAGATGCTCTACTTCCAATCCAGCTCCCTGCAGATGGCCTTGGAAAAGCAGTGGAAGAAGGTCTGATTACTTGGGGCCCTGCCAACCACGTGGGAGACCCAGATGAAGCTCCTCGTTCCTGGCTTCAGTCTGGCCCAGCACTGGCTATTGTGGCCTAGGGAGTGAACAAGCAGATGGTAGGTCTCTCTCTCCCTCTCTCTCTCTTTCTCTCTTTCTCTGTCTTTCCCTCTTTCTCTGTTACTCTGACTTCAAATAAATAAATAAATTTAAAAAAAAGAAAAAAAACTATGTAAATTTGGGGGATATTTGGCTGTTATTATTGACTTCCGAATTGTTCTATCCTTGCTAAACTGAACTTTTTTTAAAAAATTTATTTATTTATTTATTTGAAAGTCAGAGTTACAGAGAGGCAGAGGCAGAAGCAGAGAGACAGAGAGAGGTCTTCCACCCACTGGTTCACTCCCATATAGTCACAACGGCTGCAGCTGGGCTGATCCAAAGCCAAGGGCCAGGAGATTCTTCTGGGTCTACCACGCAGGTGCAGGGGCCCCAGAACTTGGGCCATCTTCCAATGTTTTCCCAAGTGCATTAACAGAGAGCCAGATCAGAAGTGGAACAGCTAGGACTCGAACCAACACCCAGTCTTCCAAGACTTCAGGCAGCACCTTTACCTGCTACACCACAGCGCCGGCCTCTAAAATAAACTTTTTGCCTTCCTCCAAGATACCGTCTCAAAGCCTATTTTCTGGCCCTCAGGGGGCACTAACCTCTTTGGATTCCTTGATATTAGCATTATCTACACCCCTAGCCCTTGTCTTACCTAACTTTGATAAGCCTTTTAAACTATATTGTCATGAACACAATGGAATTGCTGCAAGCATCCTATGACAATCTTTTGCTTCTAAATGGCATAGTTGTCATGTCTGGTGGACCCCTTTTGCCCACCTCTGTTCAGTAACCACTATTGCTGCCCTAATTGGCAAAAACAGTTCTGTTACATTAGCTTCTCCCATTCAGCTCTATGTTCTTCACACTGTCACTTGTTTTGCAAGTTCATTTGACACAACACCTCTGTATGTGACAGAAGTCCACCTAGAAACAGGCCTGATTAACCCATCCTCTCTAACATCTCGCATCATTGTAACATTCACAAACTGGCTACTCTACTATTGATGATGGAGATTCTCACTCTGTTCTGCATGACTGCTTTGTAGTTACAGAAATGCTTTTGATGGGTCAATGCTGTGGTGTAGCAAGTAAAGCTACCGCCTGTGGTACCGGCACCCTATACTGGCACTTGTTTGAGTACCAACTGCTCCAATTCTAATCCAGCTCAGTGGAAGATGGCCCAAGTGTTTGGGCCCCCGAACCCACTTGGAAGACCCAGAAGAAGCTCCTAGTTTCGTCCTGGCCTAGCCCTAGCCATTGTGGCCATTTGGGGAGCAAACCAGCAGATACAAGATCTCTCTCTCTCTCTCTCTCTCTCTCTCTCTGTGTGTGTGTCTGTTTGTCTGTTTCTTCCCCTCTCTTCTGTGACTGTACCTTTCAAATACTTAAAAAGGATTTTTCTTTTAGAAAAAGGAATGTTTTTGAAACCATGGCAGGATCTCTTAGACATCCCTGTAGACAACTCTGGCTTACTTGTATTTTGTGATAGCTCCTATAAATGGATTTTTTGGGGAAACATAATTAAGAGAGCATGCTCTACTTTCCCCACACAAAACACTTGAGACATACTCTTTCTCTACCGTAAAGTCAGCTTGAGCCACTGGCCTTATACTTTGTCCTCGAGCCTGTACATTGGCAGAAGGAAAAACTGGCACTATTTGCATAGACTCCAATTATGTCTCTAGAGTCTGTTATCACTGGCACAATCAGGAAGCCCTGTGGATTCTAAACCTCTGCTGGTACTCTTCTTGCTAACAGGCAGATAATGGCTGGCCTATTTTGCAGGCTATCCTTTCCCTGCAAAAATTGCTATTGTCCACTCTCTAACTGGTACTGAGGAAATTGACACTTGTGTCTCCAGGGAACTGGTATATCTAGCACAGTTGTTTAAATATGCAGTCGACAATGGACCCCCTGTCCCCTTTTTACCCAGTTTATAACCCTACTTTTTTCCCTGACTGATACTATTAACTTTCAGGCAAAAGGCACCACATTCTGAAAAAAGATAAGTGGCTACAAAAGGGTGCCACACAATTAGCAAATGTATTACACACTTGACCAAATGGACTTCCTATAGTCCCTTTCTTTTGACCTTTTGCCTTGCACTGATATCCACCAGATGGGACATTTGAGTAGATGGGGGAGAGTTAAGGAACTAAAAGACAATTGATTCTGCCCTGACATCCACAGAATTTCTGACCAAATTATTTCTCAGTGATACTTGTATGTCACCAAATTTTTAGAGGAGGGGACAGTGCAGGTAAAGCCACTACCTGCAGTGCTGGCATCCCATATGGGCACTGGTTCAAGTCCCAGCTGCTTTACCCCAATCCAGTTTTCTGCTTTGGCCTGGGAAAGCAGTGGAAGATGGCCCAAGTGCTTGGGCCCCTGCACCCACATGGGAGACCCAGGAGAAGCTCCTGGCTCCTGGCTTCAGATCAGTACAGTTAGAGCCCTTGCAGCCATCTGGGGAGTGACCAGCAGATGGAAGACCTCTCTCTCTCTCTCTCTCTCTCTCTCTCTGCCTCTCTGTAACTCTGCCTCTCTGTAACTCTGCCTTTCAAATAAATAAGTAAATCTTTAAAAAAATAATATTTGGAGAAAACTAGCATGCCTCAGAAAGTTCTCTGAGGCCAATATTGCAGCCCTCCGAATGGATTTTATAGGTTTATCTCCAGTTTTAGGCTATTTTCACTGGTTATTTATGTATTATATATTATATATACTATCTATATATATACTATCAATGTAGTATATATATTAGATATTTATATCAGATATAGATAGACATGTGTTCATTGGGTAGATTGAGTGCTATTCAAGTAGATGTGCTTACATCACAATTAGTGGTAAGGAAATTAATAACTGAGATTATTTCCTTATTTGGCAATCCTTTATGGATTAAATCAGACCAAAAACTCATTTTGCCACATAAGTAGACCACTTGCTTACAAAAGCTCTGGGGTACTCACTCAAATTTCATACCCCAAAGCATCCCCAAATGTCAGAGCAATTGAAGTGAAGATGTTAACATAAAAATGACTTTAAGAAAAATATCAGGGCAGCTATCTGGTATGATAAGAGCTACTTGCGATGCCTGCATCTCATATTGGAGTGCTGGATTTGAGTCCCAGCTCTGCTCCTGATTTCAACTTCTGGATGATGTGGAATCTGGGAGTACCTGGGTCCCTGGCACCCATATGGGACACCTGGATTGTGGTGTAGGCTTCTGGCCTCAGCCTGACCTCACCTGAGCTGTTGTAGGCATTTGGGTAAGAAACCACCAGATAGAAGATATCTCTCTGTCTCTCTGTTTTTCAAATTAAAATCAATAGATATTTAAAAACTAAAAGGAACTTGTAAAAAATC